CTACCTTCTTTCTTCCACCAAAAAATTACGAGCCTTAGCACGGAGGTGATAATTGGTAAAATAAATTGCAGATTATCTATCACTATCATAATGTTTGAACGAACTCTTATCAAGGAATGTATGGCAGGTATCACTATGACAAGCATTAGCAACGAGAAAACGAAAAGCACACGTAAATTGGACATGTATTTTTCTCTCGTAGTTTGCTCAAACTTGGGCCAAAGCCCAATCAATTCTAGACTATATCGATTCAACTTCACCGCCCATTCGAAATCTATCTGTTACAGAAGTTACATAAGTCGCGTCAAAAGTTAATAAATACAATTAGTTAATCAAATGTACATATTAGTTGATCTATCAAATAGCAATATATTAAATAATCTATCGATATGCATGCTGAATCAATAATAATGCAAAATGTAAAAATATTTAGATAATTTGTTTCATATAAATTTATTTTATACAAGCCGTATAAATTTTAATAAAATTTTGAAACATAATTTTCAAGTCAACATATAAAAAAAATGTATTATATCGTTATTATACAAACATATTTTTTTCATTTTTAATAAAATACTTATTCAATCTTTTATTGATGATAACTGATTATTTACGATAAGAAGTACCTTGATATGCTGGATATTTTGAAGCTTCCATGTCGAATGTTAGTTATAGACTGCCGTTTGTCTCTTTAGCATAAAGCGACGTTAATTTTTTTTAAGGAGAAGCACTTTTACGCGTGAGCAGAATAAAAATTCTTAAAAGCGTGAGACGATCAACATGTGTAAAGCGAAAGGTCGAAAAAGTTTTAAACTCACCCCTCGTTGTGCAATTTTTTTAAATTTCTCTTGCAACAACGAGGTATTCATGAATAAAAAGTGACATAATAACTGGTTGATAAGTACCTGCTCGCTTGAAAGACACAAATGTGCATTTTTTTCCACGGACCTGTAATCGATTTCGAGTGCTGCGTATGGTCTTAACTAGACTATAGATGTATTGGACGATATCTGTGTATTATCTCCATTATTTTCACCACAATAAGGGAAGTTGATAAAATTGCGGTATTGAGATAAATGCTACTTTCCAATAGTATAAATAATAATCATTACGTTTTAACCATTTTATGATATATGTATATCTAAATAATTAAATGTGAAATATGTTATTATATTTATATGTGTATGTGTTGAAATTAATTAAAATATACGTGTAAAATTGTTATTAAATTAATATTAAGAAATAAATTTTACCACACTATATATTAAGAATTAATATTATTTAATTAATTAATTATATAAATTTGTAACTTTTTGAAACACTATAACAAAGCACTATAACAATGTAATAAAATATGATTTTACATTATTATTTTATTCTACAGTATTTTGATAACGACTAACAATGTAATTTAAATTGCATATTTAAATCCGCATATTATAATGCTTTTTAAACATAAAAAATTTTATCAGATATTTTATTTAGATACATTATCACTGTTAATTATTTATTATCATTAATTATCAGTAATATTGATTGTTGTATTTAAATAATTGTATTGCAGAATAATATTCATTAGTATAGCTTTTCTGAATTACTAGTTACATTGTTAATCCACTGATAACTCTGAATATATCGAGAATGATTTAAATTCATAATTTTGTAAAACTAAGTTTTTGCTGTAAGAAGGACGGACATGTAACTAGCTGATGTTTTTATTAACTGAAAAAAAAGTATCGAGTATTTGTAAAACATGCAAATAAATATATGCAGTGCTAAGTAAAAAATAAAATGTGATGCAATTACTATATTAAAATAATGTTAATGATTCAACCAAAAGATAAGAAAATAAGATAGGATATATCTTATAGGACACATTTACAAAAATCACATATATATATTATAACCATAATTTATATTTTTAACAACTTACGTTAGAAAATGTAGCCATCGTTATAGGAAACACTTTTCCAGCGGTGAGATAAGTCGGTTTGTTACTTCTACCCAATAAAAAAATTAAGTTTCTTGCATTTTTCGGCTCTAAAGAGTACCATTTGTAATTATATACTGCATGCTGAATTTGATCACACTGAAAGTCATAAAAAAATATTGTTTGTTATTACCTAGAATATAAATGTCAATACTTATATTTTATAATTCTTTATTTTATAGTTAACACATTTATGTAAATAACACATATTAATGATACAAATTTATCATGTGGAAACTTTGGAAAATCAGAAAAAGAAATCTCACATTAAATATTGAAAGATTTAACTTACTTGTGCTACTAGAATTTCTCCTACTACGCAATAGACGCACATGTGACCGAATGTGTTGATAATGAGGCTTATTTGGCATATCAAACGAGTAATCGACATATCGTTTCCCCGCTCTAATAACTGTATAATGTAAAAATTAAATAATGCAATCAAATGAGTGAAATATTTTTACTCACACTTACACTTATTATAAGAACTCCATAACAAGCAAAAAGTATACCAAAGTATAAAAATAGTACAAGGAGTATTATACTGAAAGTATCTTCTACAAGAGCGATGGCTCTACAAAATGACATGACATTTATTTTTTATCTAAATTGAGAAAGCATGTAAACATGTAGACCAATGGTCTCTTTATAATGTTGTTTTTACACGTAATGCGTGAGGTATATAAAATATTCTTTTACAACCTGACCAGCATTTAAAAATACATTTAAAAACTTATGTATACATATATAAGGCATTGAATACAATACCTAAATAATCGTATGTGATCTATCACACTGTTCTTCAACGCATCATGAAAATTAATGAATTTATCCAAGTGCGTGATCCGATTTTTAAGGATTTCTAATTGGCCACAGATATGGAATACCAGCAATCCGAGAAAATTATCGATACCGGTATAAGCAAAGATGGCCAAAAAAATGCAAATAATTTGTACAATAAACGTCAATTCGTATTGCGGCCTCTTTGTCACATCGTAATAAAAATAATACGTTTGTAATGGCAGCACTCTGCCTGGATCAGTGATATTCGTCAAATATCTCATCGATATCCCGCAGATAGGCAAAACAGCAACAAATACAAACGCGATGGTCATTGCGCCGTATGCGCAAGTGATAATAATACGCGCGGTTTGTGCTCTTCTGATCATCGCGCTTCGATCCTGCGCGCTCTTTAACTTTAACCAATCTTTTGCGACCATATTTAACACCCATATAACAGCTTTAAAAATGACAAAATTAATTAAATTTATAAATTTATAAAAAAAAAGATACTTATTGTGTATCATTTACAATTTAATAATCATTTATATATCAATATTCTTGAATAAGAATTTCTCTTAGATTTAAATAAAAAATTTCTTGCTTTATAAAAATTTTATTACTTCGTACGATTCCTACAATTTACAGTGTTTACCAGAGTCTTTGCAGGCAAAAATAATTATTTAAACTAATTACCTTTTTTCTTCCACCAGAAAATTACAATTCTAAGGGTGCAGGTGATAGCCGGTAGGGTAAATTGTAAATTATCCATCAGTAGCATAATATTTGAACGAATTCTTATCAATGAATGTATCGAAGGAATCAGGATACCGATTGTTAATGTCAAGGCAACAATTGGAGGTCGTAAATTATACATTAATTTCTCTTGAATGCTGTGCTCAGTTTTAGGCCAAAGTCCGATTAGTTTTAAACTGAAACGATTTAGCTTCACCGCCCATTCGAAATCTATCTGTTTCAAAAGATGTTGATAAAAGAGATCATCTTGAGAAAAGCTAATAATAACTACTTACATATTGCTACATTATGTTAAAAATGAATAATTTATAGGATAATTTATTTATTGATTTTTTATGGATAATTAAATACTTAAGAAAAAAAATATATAATATAGTTTAGATAAAACAAATGCATACGTTTTGATAATTAATTAATATGATATATAAAAAGAAAGAGGGAAAGAGAGAGAGAGAGAGAGAGAGAGAGATGTATGTAATGTTTTAGTGTTATCAGAATAGCAATACTAAATTTTATAAAAACAATAAAATGTGTGTATTTAATGCGATCTACACTTGCGCACACGCAAGTACATATACACATCACAGATATGAACAATATGAGTTTTATAGAGTTTCATAAGAAACGTCACATCGTATTTATCGACTGCAATAACAGTAGTAATAAGCACCTTGATATCCTAAACTCTTCGAAGTATCCATCTTGACGATCACCAAAAGACTAGTGCTTGCCTTGCCTTCATGAATCGAAATTACCTTCTATTCTGTGAAGTATACCTATAGCGCATGCGAAAAAAATTCTCAAAGTGCAAGACGCGATCAATTTATGAAGGGATACATTAAATATGCGAGACAACCCTCGTTTTCACTCAAGTTCTGAACTGTCTGCAAAAAGTACTTGTATAATATTATACATCCTCTTCACTCTTTTATAATCGATTGACGGCAGTTTCAATGTGTGCTACAATGTTGTAATACGATATACAACTACACATCTATCATATAATTCCATCTCAATAATCTGTCCGATAACTTATATCCCATTATATGTATGTTGTGGATGATACATTACACGATACATTATTTTATTGCAATAAATACTGATAAAGCAAGAAGTTCATTTTGAAACATTTTAAATATATTCTTCGATGTCATTTGTAGCATTTTATAGGATATATACATTTATGCAAGATTTTTTGTTAAAAAGGTATAAATAGTTAGGAAACATATATAAACTTTTAATTTAAAAAAAATTATGTATGTGTATATATTTTTTTCCATTTCTATATAATATTATTTAACTAATTGATTTTAATTAATAATACTAGTATATTAATACACAACAATTTTTTTACATTTTATTTTTTTACATTTTTTATATTTCAAAAATTTTTATAAATTTTCTAATTATTAAATTTTATTAAGTTAAAAAAAAGTGTAGAAAGCTAAATAAATATATCTTTCTTAACCTCTTGTTAATTTCTCGTCGTAAGCAAAAAAGACATATAACCAGCCGATGTTTTTATTACCTGAAAAATATTTAAGATTTGCATGAGATTAATCAAATTAAAAGTGTCATGCATTTCTAGCATGCATTAAAAAAACAATTGATAATTCCGCGTAAAAAATGTCACGGCAGCTTCAAGCATAATTAAACTTATAATAAGTTCGTTATATCTTACATTACAAAACAAGGATAAGGTCATAGGAAACACTTTTCCAGCAGTAAGATAAACTGGTTCACTAGCTTTGATCATAAAAATTATCATGTGTCTTGCTTTTTTCGGATCCAAAGAATACCATTTATAATTGCATATTGCATAATAAATTCCATCACACTTAAAAAAATCGCAAACAATTAAATGTTATGCATGCTAAACACGTATGTTATTATTATGTATTATTTTATATTTTTTTAAAATAAATGTTAAAAATACTTACTTGAGTCATTAGCATTTCGCCGACAGCGCAATAGAGACACATATGAAGGAGCACGGTGATGACAATGATGACAAGATATAACAGACGAGTAATCGGTATACCATTTCCTTCATCGAATAACTAATTAAACATAATTAGTGCATCATATGTGTCAATAAAAGACAAATTTTCTATTTTAATTTAGAAATTAATATTCATTTTTAACGTATAGCATTGCTTATTAAAGTATTGTGTATAATATGTAGCTAAAGTAATAAAAAAATTTAACGTCAGATACATATAATATTTATATTAAAAGATTAAGAATTTAGATTATTAAGAATAACAATTAATTATAGTAAAAAATAAATTAGATAGTCACATATATAATAATAGAGTGATGTATGGTTCTGTAATGACAAAAAAATTAAACAGAAGAAAGACTATAAGAATCAAAACGCGAATGTTAGGACGCAAAAAA